ACACCCGTGATCCCAGTCCTGGGAAAGCAGAGACAGGAGGATCCCTGAGAGTTGCTGGACAGCCAGTATTGCCTACTAGGAAGCTCCAGGTTCAGCGGGAGTCCATGCCGAAAAAAACAAGGAGGTAAAAGAAGCTTCCAAAGGTTAACATAGACAACGGTCCTTGTGGAAAGAGAGCTCTGCTCTGAGGTTAAGCATTCCTGTCTGCAAAGCCAAAGTCAGCTAGATGTGCCCTGCAAATCAGGTTACAGAACTGAGCTGGAATTTCAATTTCCAAAGGGAATTTGCAGAACATGAGCCACAAAAGCTTTATTCTGTTCAAGTATTTCTACAAGCATTGGTGTTCACGCTTGAGAGAAAATAGTCAACAAGAACCCGGGCCTGGCAGTCTAGGTGCTGATTGACACTCATGCCACAGGAGGCACAGGCTGATCTGGGAGAAGAGCCAGGCAGGATGCTAGCAGACTCTCCCTGGCTTGTTATCCATATTGGCTCTCTGGCAATCTCAGCACAGGACAGGGGCTCTTCCTAGGCATTGTGAGGATCGGAGAGCTCCAGCTGCTCTGTTCCTTTCGCCATTGTGGTTCTGTTCTGTTTGTTTTGGTATGACCCTTTCGGACATATGGCTTTGTCTCAGCTATGCTGACACAGGACGAAAATCCTGTCTACACTGTTGCTTCTCCTCGGGGGTTGGGACAGTGATGGAACCAGAAACTCAAGGGACAAACTTTGCAGGAAAAAGAGGAAGTCAGTGGCAGAAAGCATAGCCCAATTTGGACAACCATGTGGTTTCTTCTGAGATAGACTACACCCTTTCTCTGTAAAGGATTTACTTTGTTGATTGTATACACAGGTCTCCAGGGTCTTCATACTCAAAGAGAGACAGACATACAGACAGGCACGGGCTTGCTAGCAATCTCAGGACTGCTCCCATCAGTTTACAGGCTGATGTTGGACAAAGAAAGTTAATTGTCTTCTGCTCTTGTTTCCAGAAAATCGACACAGCACTAACTAAAGCTGACTCCTTCCTGCTTGAAAACACCCTGCCATCCAAGAGTACCTTCACACTGGCCATCGTGGCCTACGCTCTTTCCCTAGGAGACAGAACCCACCCGCGATTGCGTTCAATTGTCTCAGCCCTGAAAAGGGAAGCTGTGGTTAAAGGTAAGACTCATTCCACACTGCTGCTCAGCAGGCACAAACTGAGCACCAAGAGTCTGCATCCTGGGTATTAGGTTTCTCCACCAACATAGTAAGCCAGATCAAGCCGAATTGAAAAGGTATGACAACACGTTTATTTGAGCAAAGCAACCCCAGGACGAGTTTTCCTGTCCCAGAGACTTTATAGGTTGTAGGTGAGGGGTGATGACGTGCCTGCCACAAGCTGGGTTTGCACCCAAGTATGGTCAAAAGCTGAGCGCTTAGGTGGGAACTTGGGCAGCTGGCCACTTCAGGGGAGGAAGCTGCAGTAGCCACCAAGAATGAGGAACTGAGACTCTCTGAGCAGGTGGGATTTGGAGAGAGGGAGGAAGGGGGAGGAAGAGAAGGAGAGAGAGAAAGAGGGGGGTAGGGAATGGGGCTTTCCGGATCATTCAGGGGCGAGCTGGAGGTTCCAACCCAACACTGGGAAGTGAGTGGGACGGAAGCAGAGTGAGACACCATCCTCACCCACGAGGAGGTAATCCTTACACCACAAGGTGATGAATCAGTCACTCACTCACTAAATACTTATTCGTTCATTCAGCACGTAGCTATTGAGAGTCCTATGGATTCTTCAAGGGTGCTGGGCACTAGATCAACAGAGCAAACAGAATAGAATAAATCCTGCCTGGCTGGCTCTGCCAGTCACTCCTGTAATCCCAGCACTCAGACACCGAGGCGGGGGATCCAGAGTTCCAGACCAGTTTGGCTATGTGATGAGACCCTGTCTTAGAAAAAGACAAAACAAAACAAAGATGCAGGGCCAACAAGGGCCTTGCTGCCCAGCCTCCAAGCTGAGTCCAATCACTAAGCCTGGTGGAAGGGGAGAGTCAACTCCTGCAAGTTGTCCTCTGATTCCACAAGCATGCATGGCACAAGCGTGCCCACCTACACCCACACAATAAACAAACAAACAAGCATGCATGGCACAAGCGTGCCCACCTACACCCACACAATAAACAAACAAGCATGCATGGCACAAGCGTGCCCACCTATACCCACACAATAAACAAACAAACAAATAACATATTTTTTAAAACCCAGACCCTTATGATGCGTAAATTCTAGTTGGGAAGAAGCAAGCATGAGAAATAAGTAAAGTTTTATAAATATGTTATGGAAACAGAAATGAAGTCAAATTAAACAGGGAAAAGAGCTACAACAAGGATCTGGGTTGTACATCTGGATTTAAGCCTCACAAGAACATGGTACAAGCTGGCAGTGGTGGCGCGCGCCTGTAATCCTAGCACTCAGGAGGCAGAGGCAGATGGATCTCTGTGAGTTCGAGGCCAGCCTGGTCTACAGAGTGAGATCCAGGAAAGGCACAAAGCTACACAGAGAAACCCTGCCTCAAAAAAAAAAAAAAAAAAAAAGAATATGATACAGTTGAATTACACTTGGTGCATTCTGAGAAATGTTTCCCATTGCATGATCACCATAGAGTGTCCTTACACAAACCTAAGGACCGTAGCCATGGAGACAATGGGGTAAATAATGTCACATATGTGGTCTGCCATTGGCTGAAATATCATTGTGCGGCACATAACTGTATTTGAGTGTAAATCTGAAAGGAAAGGAAGCAAGAAACAGCTGTGCGCATGCCCTGGGCCCTGAGCATTCCTGGTGTTCCGGTAGCAGCATGGAGGCCAGTGTGGTGCCGAGCAGAGAGCTGAGAGCAGGAAGTGAGAGCAGGGAAGAAAAGGTTAGGGTCATTCTGGTGTCTCCAGGATGAAGTATACAGCCGTGCAATGGTGAAGAACCTGCCTGGTACGTGTTCAGCTGTCACAGTGGAGTACCAGAGATGGCCAAAGGAAAGAGAGCCCTTTGAACTCATGGCTCTGGGGGCCAAGCACACAGCTCCAGCATCGCGAGGGCTTCTGGTGAAGCCCTCCCAGTGAGAAGGCAAGTGGGCACTTTGGGGAGACAGAAAAGATGATTGAACAAGAGTAACTAGCCTACACCCCTAGAAAAGCCTCCATGTCCAGCCTCACGGCCCACGCTCTTCCCATGTAACACTGATCTCATTGAGAACAAGCCAACTTAAACCCCAGCAGCCCGGCAAGCCGACAAGCTGAGGCTGAAATGGGCTATGCCGCCTCCACTCCACAAACGGTGTCCTCCAGCGCGGGCTGCCTGGCTCCAGCACATCAGCTTTAACGGCCACTTTGAGCCACCAGAAGCCACTGAACCAGGAGTGTGTGACCTGGCTTACGCCTCACCAGGAGGTTGCTGTAGGTGTCATGGCTAGCAGTTCTGAGCCCTGTCCCAATTTGAGTTTTCTAAATGTTTAACAAGTTTTGTGTGAGGTTTATGACTGTCTACAAAATTTCACCTTTGTTTTCCTTTAAAAAAGCCTAAGTTTTAATACATACCTCAAAACCAGTTCTTTGATGCTTCAGAAATAGCACAAAAATGTCTTGGGTACTGTAAGATGTATTATAAAAATCATACACTTTCAAAGTTAGCGGGGAACTGAATAATTCAAATCTAAGATTTAAAACCCAAATAAAACTTTTATTTTAAATATAATTTTAAATATGGTAAATCTGAGTATGAGAAATACAAGAAAATATTTTGTTCACTCATGTAAATCATGTAACAACTAATTGTAAAAAGATATCTCAAAATTAGATTAACCTTCAAAATTCCAGGTAGTGGCTTTTGTTTTCCTCAAAAGAGAAAGTATTATGTCAAGTTTATTCTTTCAGTGTGAATAATGATAATTCTTCACTTATGCATGGTGCTTGCTGGCTTATAAACATGCTTCCCTGTTTATTTCTGTGAGTCTCACTACATAGATGTGAATGTTATCTACTCCCAGTATGGGGGCCTGGGTCCCACAGAACTGATGAACTCCCTGGGTTCTCCCAGTCAATTAGGAGAGGACAGCTAGAACCTGGTCCTGAGTCCCAGCTTCTCAGGCCCTGCTCCGCGGCCAGCCTGTCTGTGCTCTCCGGCATGCATAGCCATCCTCCAGTGAAGAGAAGGGCAGGGCATTATGGGATCTCATTTTGTCTTGGCTACCTTGACGAAGTTTAAATGAAAATAAAAAGAAACAAAAAGGAAAGAAAAGGCCATGACTTCTCCTATGTGTGGTGGAGGGGAACATTTATTATAGATATGTGGGAAAGCATGGCCAGAGGCAGGAACATCTGGGAGAGTCCAGAGTGGAAAGGACCAGACTGAGCTGGGCCATGTGGGAAGGGGGAGGGGAAGGGAGAAAGGGTAACCAGGTGCAGCAGCCAGGAGGCCAAAGGTACAAAGGCGAGGGTGACCAAAATGTCTGGATTATATAAGGAAGTGCCTCTGTGTGAAGGCCAGCCCAGTCCCTGGGCTGAAGAGTTCAGGGCAGAGGGCGGGTTGTGCCAGCCATGCCCTGTAATAGGTAGGGATGCTGGGAGAACCTGGTAGCCAGGTCCACTTTCATACGTTAAACAGACACCTCAACCATTTGTCCCGGTTTTGAAACTTAACAAAGTTCTGACAATGAAGAGAACTTCTAAAAGTGAGAAGGCCATCACACACCTGCTAGGATTATGTCAAGTTCCCATTTTTACTTCTACTAATGAAGTAATGTGTTGCCATCAGGTGATCCACCCATTTACCGTTTCTGGAAAGACACTCACCAACAGACCCACAGCTCTGCACCTAACAGCGTCACGGCAGGTATGGTAGAGACCACAGCCTATGCTTTGCTCACCAGCCTGAACCTGAAGGAGACGAATTACATCAACCCAATCATCAAGTGGTTGTCTGAAGAGCAGAGGTATGGAGGCGGCTTTTATTCCACCCAGGTAACGTGTGGTTAGCTTGATCTGTGCCTCTTGCCCACACTACGCCTTCCACACTCAGGCTGGCCTCCATGACTCTTTCTAACAAATGGGCTGCCATAGGTACAAACCATGTCTAGAATCTTAGGACCCTGGAGGTTATCTGTATTAGTAACTTCATTGTTCAGAAGAGGAAATGAGCCTGAGGAGGGTTATTCAAGGAGCCAGTCAGCACCCAGCTTCCTGACGCTATGCCCCATGGTGCTTCTTTCATTGTCTTTAAAGACCATGGAAGGCTGGTAGGTTACCAGCAATTACATCACATCCTGCTTAATAAGTAGTGGTTGCCATGGAAGCAAAGGTACCGATGATTCCTCTCCTGCATGATGTTTAGCTACCTATCGATCGTGTTTTCTGTTGTGACCATTGTTACACAGTTGGTTAACGCAGTCATGTGTTGCATAACAATGTTTTGGTCAATAACAGACAATAAATATAATGGTGATTCATAAAATTATAGTAGAGCTGAAAACTTCCTGTGGCCTCCTGCTAGATTTGTGGCTATCATAATGTTGTCTATAAAACACTACTTGTGGCTGCAGCCCACCGGCCCGGCGGCCGCTGAGCAGTCGCTGAAGCTCGCTTCCTTGAGCGGCGGCCGGCCCGCCTCTCCGCCCTCCCGCTCCGCCCTCGCCTTCCTGCGGCCGGCCGGCCCGGCCCTACATGGGGGCGGGCCTCCGCAACACGGGTTTGGCTTCCTGTTCAGAGGCGGCCTTGCGCTAGGTGGCCGCCACACTGCCTGCGCCCGCCTCGGTGCGGTCACCGAGCCCGGGAGGAAGCTCCAGGGCCGCATCTCGGGCGGTTGCTCCAAGCCGGGCTGTGCGCCGCCATGGCCTCAGTGCAGCTGGAGAACCACCAGCTGATCCCTCCGGACGGCGGCGGCGGTGGCGGCGGCGGCGGCGGCGGCGGCAGCGGCTCAGCGTCTGTCCCGGTTCCTCCGCCTCCTGGAGCCGCGGTGGCGGCGGCAGCTGCGGCCGCGGCTAGCCCTGGTTACCGGCTTCGCACGCTCATCGAATTTCTCCTCCACCGGGCCTACTCGGAGCTCTTGGTATTGACGGACTTACTGCCAAGGAAATCGGACGTGGAAAGGAAAGTAGAAATTGTCCAGTTTGCTAGCCGGACACATCAACTCTTCGTTCGATTATTAGCTTTAGTAAAGTGGGCTAATGACGCTGGCAAAGTCGAGAAGTGTGCGATGATCTCGAGCTTTTTAGATCAACAAGCTCTCTTGTTTGTGGACACTGCTGATCGCTTGGCCTCCTTAGCTAGAGATGCACTGGTCCATGCACGCCTGCCTAGTTTTGCTATCCCATATGCCATTGATGTGCTGACTACTGGCTCTTATCCACGACTGCCAACCTGCATCAGGGATAAAATTATTCCTCCAGACCCAATTACCAAAATTGAGAAACAAGCCACACTTCATCAGCTTAATCAAATTCTTAGACATAGGCTTGTAACAACAGATCTTCCTCCACAGCTAGCAAATCTTACAGTGGCAAATGGCCGTGTGAAGTTTCGAGTTGAAGGAGAATTTGAAGCAACTTTGACAGTAATGGGTGATGATCCAGAAGTTTCATGGCGCCTTCTCAAGCTAGAAATTCTAGTTGAGGATAAGGAAACAGGAGATGGCCGCGCTTTGGTTCATAGCATGCAAATCGACTTTATCCATCAGTTGGTGCAGTCTCGGCTCTTTGCAGATGAGAAACCTCTTCAGGACATGTACAACTGCCTACATTGTTTCTGCTTATCACTTCAATTAGAAGTGTTACATTCCCAGACTCTAATGTTAATCCGAGAGAGGTGGGGCGACCTTGTCCAGGTGGAAAGGTATCATGCCGGAAAGTGCCTCTCTCTCTCAGTTTGGAATCAGCAGGTTCTAGGGAGAAAAACAGGCACAGCATCAATTCACAAAGTCACAATTAAAATAGATGAGAATGATGTCTCCAAGCCTTTACAGATCTTTCATGATCCTCCTTTGCCAGCTTCGGATTCTAAATTAGTAGAAAGAGCTATGAAGATTGACCACTTATCAATAGAAAAGCTCCTGATTGACAGTGTTCATGCAAGAGCCCATCAGAAGCTGCAGGAACTGAAGGCCATTCTTAGAAGCTTCAATGCTAATGAAAACTCTTCCATAGAGACTGCACTTCCAGCTCTGATTGTTCCCATCTTGGAGCCCAGTGGTAATTCGGAGTGCCTACACATTTTTGTAGATTTGCATTCTGGAATGTTCCAATTGATGCTTTATGGACTTGACCAGGCCACTCTGGAGGACATGGAAAAATCTGTGAATGATGACATGAAGCGAATCATCCCTTGGATACAGCAGCTTAAGTTTTGGCTTGGACAACAGCGCTGCAAACAATCTATAAAACATCTGCCTGCAATAACCACTGAAACATTGCAGCTTTCCAACTATTCAACGCATCCCATTGGAAACCTTTCCAAGAATAAACTCTTTATTAAACTTACCCGTCTTCCACAGTACTACATTGTTGTGGAAATGCTTGAGGTTCCCAGTAAGCCCACACAACTATCGTACAAGTATTACTTCATGTCTGTGAGTACTGCAGATCGTGAAGACAGCCCTGTCATGGCACTGCTTCTGCAGCAATTCAAGGACAACATCCAGGACTTGATGTCCTATACAAAGACTGGGAAACAGATCAAAGCTGGTACCAAGCACAAGTTGTCTGATGACCCATGTCCAGTAGAATGCAAGAAAGCCAAACGATCAGGAGAAATGTGTGCCTTCAATAAAGTTCTAGCTCATTTTGTCGCTATGTGTGACACCAACATGCCATTTGTCGGACTTCGATTGGAGTTGTCCAACCTGGAGATCCCACATCAGGGAGTGCAAGTGGAAGGGGATGGCTTCAGCCATGCGATTCGCCTATTAAAAATTCCTCCCTGTAAGGGAGTAAATGAGCAAACTCAGAAGGCCCTGGACCGCTCTCTCCTTGATTGCACTTTCCGATTACAAGGTAGAAATAACCGCACATGGGTGGCAGAGTTAGTATTTGCAAATTGTCCGCTCAATGGCACTTCCACCAGGGAGCAAGGACCATCCCGGCATGTTTACCTGACATATGAAAATCTGTTATCTGAACCTGTTGGTGGTGGAAAAGTAGTTGAAATGTTTCTTAATGACTGGAGCAGCATTGCCAGATTATATGAATGTGTGTTAGAATTTGCTCGTTCTCTACCAGACATACCTGCTCATCTGAATATTTTCTCAGAAGTTCGTGTTTATAATTATCGGAAACTTATCTTGTGTTATGGAACCACCAAAGGAAGCTCAATTAGTATCCAGTGGAATTCCATTCATCAGAAATTTCATATTTCGTTGGGAACAGTTGGCCCAAACTCAGGTTGCAGTAACTGTCACAATACCATTCTCCATCAACTTCAGGAAATGTTCAACAAAACACCAAATGTGGTTCAGTTGTTACAGGTGTTATTTGATACTCAAGCACCATTAAATGCCATCAACAAACTCCCTACTGTGCCAATGTTGGGCTTGACTCAGAGAACTAACACTGCCTACCAGTGTTTCTCCATTCTCCCACAGTCGTCCACCCACATCAGACTGGCCTTCAGGAACATGTACTGCATTGACATATACTGCCGTAGTCGAGGTGTTGTGGCAATACGGGATGGGGCCTATAGTCTTTTTGATAACAGCAAGTTAGTTGAAGGCTTCTATCCTGCACCAGGATTAAAGACGTTCCTGAACATGTTTGTTGACAGCAATCAGGATGCTCGGAGAAGATCTGTAAATGAGGATGATAACCCCCCTTCTCCTATAGGAGGTGATATGATGGACTCTTTAATATCACAGCTCCAGCCACCTCAGCAACAGCCGTTTCCAAAGCAGCCAGGAACTTCAGGCGCTTACCCTCTTACTTCACCCCCTGCATCCTATCACAACACAGCTAATCAGTCCCCGTCTATGATCCACACAAGGTCTCCAGGAACCCTTGACCCTAGTTCTCCATACACTATGGTGTCACCAAGTGGACGAGCAGGAAACTGGCCTGGGTCTCCTCAAGTGTCTGGACCCTCACCAGCAACCCGTTTGCCTGGAATGTCACCAGCCAACCCATCTCTCCATTCTCCTGTCCCAGATGCTTCTCATTCCCCTCGAGCTGGCACAAGTTCCCAGACAATGCCAACCAACATGCCTCCACCTCGCAAACTGCCTCAGCGCTCCTGGGCGGCATCCATACCCACCATCCTCACTCACAGTGCCTTGAACATCTTACTGCTCCCCTCGCCGACGCCAGGCCTTGTGCCTGGCCTGGCAGGCAGTCACCTTTGTTCCCCGCTGGAGAGGTTCCTTGGGTCTGTCATCATGAGACGACACCTTCAAAGAATTATTCAACAGGAAACGTTGCAGCTGATCAATTCCAACGAACCTGGTGTAATCATGTTCAAGACAGATGCCCTGAAATGCAGAGCAGCCCTTAGTCCCAAAACCAACCAGACCCTTCAGCTAAAAGTGACACCTGAAAATGCAGGACAGTGGAAACCTGATGAGCTTCAAGTTTTGGAGAAATTCTTTGAGACAAGAGTCGCAGGACCACCATTTAAAGCCAACACACTTATAGCCTTCACCAAGCTGTTGGGAGCACCAACGCACATCCTCCGTGACTGTGTGCATATTATGAAGTTGGAGCTGTTCCCAGACCAGGCAACACAGCTAAAATGGAATGTCCAATTTTGCCTCACCATCCCTCCCAGCGCGCCACCGATTGCACCTCCTGGGACACCAGCTGTGGTGCTGAAATCCAAAATGCTGTTTTTCCTTCAACTAACTCAGAAAACATCAGAACCCCAAGAACCTGTTAGTATAATAGTTCCAATCATTTATGACATGACTTCAGGTACCACCCAGCAGGCAGACATTCCCAGACAGCAGAACTCTTCTGTTGCTGCGCCCATGATGATCAGCAACATTCTGAAGAGGTTTGCAGAGATGAACCCACCACGACAAGGTGAATGCACAATATTTGCAGCTGTTTGTGATTTAATGGCTAATCTTACACTGCCCCCTGGTGGGCGTCCATAGACACTATTGTTTTTAAACCAGGAAGGCTGACAAATGGAAAAACAACACAAACAAAAAAAGACTGAATTCAGCCATCAGTTTTAAAAAGGAAAAAGACTTTTTTTTTTTTTTTTTAAACCTTAAGAGCTAAATATTCTAAACTGGCAAAACTTTTCAGGGTGCACTTCTTTCATCAAAAAGACCATCAATCTTTTGTATAGTGAACTTGTATAGTGTGTTTAAATGCGACACATTTCAAACTAGGTAACAGATCAGTGTCCACTTGCCAGTAATAGATTTAATATTCTGTTTTATACTATAAAGTAATGAAAATGCCAAACGTGTTTATTTAATTGTTTTCTTATGTTTTGGATGTAATGGTCTTTTTTGATTTTTTTTTTAAAGGCAGGTCTATCATTTTTGAATACTGTAAACTGTGACAAACTTTATATTGAAGCTGTATTTTACTATTGACCGCTTTGAATCCTTACACAGAAATGTTTTGGGAGCTGTTAAACACATCCCAAAGAAGCAATATTTAATAAAACTAGGATATAAAAGTGACACTCACTTGTGTGTGTATAAGCTCTCTAGAGTTATTAGGGCCTCCCTTCATCTTCACCCTGGTGGGGCCAGTCAGTTTTTAATTACCTATGTCTGAAATTTGACAAAAACATTTTTGTTTTAAGGTTAATGTAGTTTCTTCAGACATTCCTAACATGACTGGTGATAACATTTAGCACCTAGATTGTTTTTTCAGTATAGGATTTATGTAAAATAAGAGAACTTTGTCTTTGAAAAGAGACAGTAAGTGATTTATAGTGATCAAGGATCCCAAATAATGCAATTATTCTCATGTGTGAGGAAATGGGAACCTTTTTGTTAGGAAAATGTCATTTAAAGGATACTTCTGCACACAGCATTAACTAGGAAGCAAAGAACTTGAATGCTCTAGTTTGCATGAAGTTTTGGTGACATTTCTTTATCTTATTTAACTTCTTACCTTCCCCAGCACAATTGAGGTTGTTCTAAACAATCTCAATTTGATTCATTGTCAACAAAACAATAGAATGTTTTGCTGGACACAACCTGGTCCAATCATTTGAAAAGTCCACAGTGCAGGGCCTGGGTAGGGTCCAGTGGAGTTTCTGGCACTGGTACCTCTCAATAGGATTTCTTTCTAGAGTACTGTACTGTCTCTTGCAGCCAGTCAGGGTCTTTGTAAGCTTCGATGAATATGATCTGATTCAAATGTCTTCTGATGACTTGATGTGATTTGGAGCAGTTTTTTTGTTGTTGTTTTATGGGTTTTTTTTTTAATGATAATATCATGCTGAGTTATCTAGTCAATGTAATATGGTCCTCGATGAAATTTTAGATGTTTGTCTGATTCCATTTTAAGATGATTATTTGAGCTTCTATAACTATAACCACCAGATTCTAGTTTTAAGCATCTCACTGCAACTGTATCATGTCTTCTCAACTTTCTTGACTCTCCATTTCCAGTCAGAGTTGAGGGCTTCTGTCTTCTGTGTCTCCTTTCTCCTTCATCTCCTGCTTCTCACCCAACTCTGCCGCTATTCCAGAGTAGGCGACCAAACTTTTATTCTTCTTTAACCTACCCCTTTTCTCCTTCTGTTTTCAGTTTTCTTCACAGTGGTAATCACATGGGTTTGGCAATCTAAGATGTCTTGATCAGGAGTCAGCCCTTTTCTATTAGGAGCTGAATCCTATCTTTCATGTAGAAATCTACATGTATATACAAGAAAATGTATTTTTATCTGCAGGATGATATTGTTTCAAATAATTTTATTAATAGAATTAACTTTTCAGGTATTTTCTCTTTTAAGTGTGGTTTTGAAATGTTAATTGCATTTTTATACATGATGCATTCAATGGGTACTTTTTCCTAATTATAACTCACCTTTGAATGCATTGTGTAAATCAAGTAAGATAGGATTCAATGAACAGAATTTGATTTTGATGCTTATTAAGAGTAAACCAATGAATTTGAATTTTGATATCATGCTTGGTACTTGGAATTGGTATATACTTTATTAAAACTTGGAAATACTTAGCATTTAAATCGTAACTTTCATCACAAACCATGTCTTTTGCCTCTTTTGTTAACCAGGTTCAATCAAAGAAACTGGATGCCATAGTGATTTTTCTCTAGTAGGTGGTTTGGAACTTGATTTTAAGGTGTTTTCAATGTGATTTTAGTATTTACAGTAATAAATAAAATTTACACAAGTTTCAGAGAACTAAAAAAAAAAAACCTACTTGTTTGTGCAGATGTGAGCAAACCTATTACACTGCCAATCACATCAAAGTATAACACTTAAAACTATTAATAATTATAATTTATTATAGTCAATATTCTATAATGTATAGAAAATTATAATTTTATAATTTATAATTAATAGAAATATATAAGCTCATGTTTCTCAAGGACGGAAAGACTAAGATTGAGGGGCCTTACTTTGGCAAGGACATCTTTTCTGTGTCATTCCATGAAGGACAAAGAGAAAGAAAAAGAGAGGGGGAGAGGGAGGGAAGGGGAGAGGAGAGAGGAGGGGCAAATTCATTCATTTATAAGGACAATGGCATTAATCTGCTTGTGAGGGTGGTGCCCATGACCTGCACGCCTCCCATTAGATCCTCCCCCAACTCCACATTGCCACATTGGGCATTAAGTTTCCAATACATGAACTGAAGGACACAATCAACCATAGCAGACACCAAGAAAGACATGGATCCCTGTATGCTCCGTAAATCTTACATTAGTGGGGACAGCGGCAATCAATAACTATACATAAAGGTATTATAAATTGCAGTGAACTCTATAAAAGGCAAGAAATGAACATTAAAACCATCATGAACAGAGAGTTTGTGGCCTCACTGTGGGGGTGTTTAAACCGAGGCTAAAGGATGAGAAAGAGATAATTCTGCAGCATCAGAGGTATTTTTCAGAGTGACCTACCTAAGGATACATGTGCAGAATATGTAGAGAACCCAGACCTGAAGCCATACTTCCTTCCTGTCCCTGATGAAAACAATGTCCATTCTTATACCTCCACAATGGGTCCCTCGACTGCTTCACTCAGTCAGCTGGAGTTTCATCTCCAGACAGTGCCACCCACCACCTCCTAAGAAGGGGATTGGTAGAGTTGGGTGTACATATCACTTGGGAGGCTGAAGAAAGAGTATTTCAAGTTCAAGTCTACACGTCGGAATCCTATTCTCAAAACAAAAGTGGGTCTATTTGTAAACCGAGCATGTATAAATAAACTAAATGTGCTTTTGTGCTTTGCTGATTGTTGGTAGGATACAATTAATGCCATCGAGGGCCTGACAGAATATTCACTCCTGTCTAAACAACTGCATTTGAATATGGATATCAATGTCTCCTACAAACACAAAGGTGATTTCTACAAGTACAAGGTGACGGAGAAGAATTTCCTTGGGAGACCAGTGGAGGTAAATGATAAACTTTGCCATCAGACGGGAGAATTGAAGTCATCTCTTCCCTCTTTATTGTTCGTGTGCTTTTACTCACTATTTAAACATGCGCTGAGCACCAGTGGACTCCTAAGCAGGGTGCCTATTATAGCTCAGGCCCTTGTGATTCAAGAGTAAAATACAAAGAATTCATGTCCTGTGGAGGGACAGTCATTTAAATAAGAGTCCAGAAACACCTACATGGAGGTGCAGAGGGGCCTCCTGATCCAGACTGACAGAGGCTGTGTGTAGGGGAGGGTATGTCCACATGTGTGGGTTAACCCTGAAAGAATCAGAGAGGGGTAGCCAGATGAAGACACGGGAAGAACATTCATCGTGTGTGACAGAACACACAGAAGTGCCATTGCAGAGACATGAAAGACATGTCTGTCACCTGCTCCAGGTCCCTTTTGTCCTTGGTCTTTCTCACAAACTGTAGTTGGCTTGGACTTGTGTCTCTGGTTCTCCAACTCCTTGCTTTATGGCTATTTCCAAGGCTAGATTTTTTTTAAAGGGAAAATTCTTAATAGGTTATGAAAATTTCCCAAAGAAGGATATGTTAGGCAAAGTATATTCTATATTATTATTGCTGCCAGTCTACATAGGCGAATGTGCATTTTTTGAATTATCATGTGTGAATTTAGTGCATTTAGTATATAAACAAACAGGAATAGTCCTCACTGTCTACATGCCCTACAGATCCATGCTTATAAAAGTAAATAGAAATGAGAAAAATGCTTAAGCAAAAATCACAAACCAGTGACTCATAGCAGAAGAATGACTATCGAGGACTATGGGGGTCCAGCCCCTCGATAGTCCCCTCCCAGGGTCCGCGGAAGGCTCTATCAACCAGCTGAGGATCTATTCTTTAGGGTCGGTAAATCAGTCTACGCACGCAGAGTTCTTTGGTCCATTTGCTTTAATTCTTCTGGCATAACGTCCTTTATACACAGCTTCAGTTCTGTTCTCATGTCTAGCTCCTTTCTTGCCTGATTTCTCTCTATATTTATCTACTGTCCCTTCTAGGTTCTATCTTAATTCCTTCATCTAGTTCTGTCCCTTCTAGGTTCTCATCTATCTAGTTCTTTCCCC